ACGGGGACAAAACGTGGTGTGGGGTTTCATCTGGTGTACGTGGGGGTTTTGTTTTCTCAGCTCAGTAGGTTTTGGGGGCTCATCCTGCCAGCTGAGCCCCGGCGAGAGCGGATTTTATCGCTTCGTTATTCCTGGGGTTTTTCACTTCAAAAAAAAAAGGCACTGCCCTGCCCAAAACCCCTCGCAGCTGGGGTAGGAGGTGGAGGGAAGGAGTCAGGATTCATCCTGCTCAGGATCTGAGGAAAAATTCCCCCCTCTGAGCCTCCTTGGGGATCAGTCTCCTCGAGGTTGACGCCTTTGAGACGCTTGGAGCTCGGCAGCGGCGGCGAGAGCTCTGAAGGACAACGGGATCTCATCAGCGAGCAGCTAATTAAGGACATTCCCCCTTCCCCCCCTGCCTCCACCTTCTCCTTTTCCAGGTTCTGAGGAGCAGCAGATGCGTGTGGGGCTCTTAGGCTGGCACATACATTTACTAAATTGATCTATGCACGTCCATACGCTCGCAGTCAGCGGCGCTGCTCGGGAATAAACGGCAGGAGCAGAGCCCCGTAAATCTTCTCTGAGATGGGGGAAGGAGGAATTGGGAATTAAAACTGAAAACTGTCTTTCAGCCCCTCTCTTAATAACAGGGGCTCTTTAAAACATAAATTGATCTCTCTCATTGGTATGCTGCGAGGTCTGGCCGGGGCCGTTTTGACGCTTTCCGCCCCCGTTCCCTGCCTTTTGTTCTCCCGCAGCCCCCACCCAGAGCTGCAGAGAAGGTGCCTTTTCCTTTGTGGTTTCACACAGCAGCCCGCAGGCTAGCCGGGAGGTTTCTCTAATCTAAGACCACCCATCTGGGCTCTGCTACCTCAGAGCTGCAGCTCAGAGCCCCTTTTTTTTAGCCCTGGGGATATTTTCAGCGGCGTGAAGCTTGTGAAGGGGGTTCAGGCATCAGGGGAAAGTGTTACCCCTCCTAAAAAACCCTCTGCAGGGGCAAAGTCCCTGCACCCAGATGGCTCCTCCCTCCCCCAGCCTGCCCAGGGCTGCGTTTCTGAGGTGCTTCCAAGGTTTGGCCCCCTCCAGCCAGCCCCCCCAACTCCATTACTGCTGCTCTTGTGTTTTGTCCTCCAGTTCCAAGGGTGGTCTCGACACCAAGACGTTAATTAAAACCACAGGCACAGCAGGAGCTTCCCTGGAGGCACTTTAAGTGGTTTGAAACTTCCCTGCATGTTAATCCCTTCTCCTTTGTGATTCCCAGTGCAGCATCTCAGCTTTAAGAGGGCAGGTAAATGGTTGCTGCACGGAGCTGGAGCATAAATCAGCCCCGTGGAGCCTCAGCCCACTCGAGAGCATCCCTGGGTGCCCGAATTCAGCCTCTCTGCTGCCATTTTCCCTCCCTGGAGAGGCCTCAGAACGCAGCAGGTTTAGGTTAGAGGCGAGGACAACGTGTCAGCAGCCGGGGCGAGGGGAGGGATTGATGGTGAAGGGAAGGAGGGAGGGAGAGCAGGTTGGACAAACAGCTGCCAGGGCTGATTTAGGGAGAGTTTCTCCTGCCCCAGACAGAGGGAGGGAGGGACCCGGGTGATTTGTGAGGTCTGTTGGAGCCCATTTGGTTGGAGCCTCTCTCCTCTGGCTCTCCCATCTTCTCCCAGCCTTGGGATGGGGAGAGGTGCCCGTGGCATTTCATCCCCTTCCCTCCTTGTCACCCTGCCCCAGCAAGTCATGAACTGGTTCAGAGGGGGCCCGTGGCACTGCTGGAACCCAGGGTTGGTGGCAAGGTGCCAGGTTCAGGCATATGGTTGGGGTTTATTTTAATGGGGCGCTCATAGATATTTAATAACTTGCATGGCTCTTTGTTTGCTTTTGATAATCGGGTCATAAAATAATTCAGGCTGATTTATACAATGCTTTACAGCTCTTCAGTGAACCAAAGTGCCTTCTGCAACTCGCAGGCCCTTGGCTTTGGTACCTGGGCTCCTCAGCAGAGCCCTTTTCTGAAAAAAAAACCCAACTAAACCCCCCCTAAAACCCACAAAACCAAGTAACCCATGGAAAGAATTCTGAGGAACCACAAAATGGTGCTTTTGAGGGCAGAGAGCATCTTCCCTGGGCCTCCATCTCCTCTTGGCCGGGCACCACTTGCTGCCTCAGGCTCCCAGATGCTCCTTCAGCCCAAATAAATAATAATCATTTGGCAAGAGCTGTAGCTCTTCCTCTGGGAGCAGCCGGACGTTTCCCAAACAACAGATGAGCTAATTGTCCTTCTGATGCGTGGCTGGTTTCTCCTGCAGAGTGCTGGAGCCCTGGACATGTCTCTGCCCCCCACCCCAGAGATCAAGATCAAGGAGGAGGAGCCCGTGGAGGTGGATTCGTCCCCACCAGACAGCCCCGCGTCCCACCCACGCTCACCCCAGAGCAAAGAGAAGGTAAATCCCCCCCCCCGAGACATTTCCCCTGCCCCTGGTGAGAAGAAGCTTTTCTCCACCTG